TGTACAGAGATGAAAGGTTCTAGTAGAGAACGACAGTTGAGGTATTTTATGGGCTTCTATATTCTTTTGATGCTATCTAGAGTCAGAACACTGGCGAAAACGACGATAACGCCATAACTATTAATAGAAAGAACCAGTTGTATTCCCTGCGGCAATACTCGCAAAAATAGCCCACGTTCCACTCGAAATCGAATGACGTTCCATGCGAACGATCGTCGCTCGAGATCGCTATTTGCGATCGTATCAAATTGGTTTGACCGTTCGTTTTGCTGTTTGAAAATTGGCAAAGTGGCTTTTACGTCTATCCCTGAATCGCTAATTCTTGGGTTTGATACGGTTTGATTCAAAATAGCTTCCAATCACTTACGATTTTCATTAGGATTTTTATTAAAAAGAAAAAGAAAAAAAAATTACGACAGTATAGTTCTACAAATTTGATTAACCGAGTCGATAAGATCCAGTTCTAGATGTAAAGAGCAGTCTGTTCGTGAAATTCAGACTCGGCGAAGTTGTACTATGGTCCGCAAACGCAGGTCATTTCGATCCTATAGATAGGTAAAACGGTACGGCCGTGAGGTACGGGGGCTGCTCAATAAATCATGCCGATTCTATGCCTAACCGCTGCTAGACACAGGAGGTAGATCATTTCGATTCATACCTAAGCGTTCAAACGCACAATGTACCATGGAATGCTCGATAAATCATTTCGACTCTATAACCAGGGGCACCTGAACTCGTAGAATTCCAGCAAGGATTCGTAGATCATTTCGATTCATGGCTAAATGATAACAACCAAGTAACTTCGATAAATAGCTTAGATACTGAATGTTTCTGATAAATCGTCTAATTCAAAAATAAAACTGTCATAAATCTCTTTCTACCGGTTGAGTCATAATCGTATTATAGCAGATAAGGATCGAGGATTCCTGATTTTTAGAAAAGTATGTTTAAAGTTTTGGAAGACTGACGAATATGTTAAATCGTCGCTTACGAGGCGATGGCAAGAACTACGAAATGTCGAATGAGTTGGTTGTATGTACATTCGATGCTTTAGACTGATGGTAAAACAGCCTCGAAAGGATTTCAGTGCATAGTCCTATATCTTACTCTATGAATTCTTTTAATACGACGTTATATTTTTCTTCGATATTTTAGATTTTTACAATTTATTGCGATAAATTTTCGATTATTTTTAATTATTATGGTGGTTCTGCATATTCTTACGGTTTTGAAATCATCTCGCTAGATTAGCACTGATCGAGTTATCGATCTGTTTCCTAAAGAACGAGTCAAAGAATAGGCCTTCGTTCATCCTAATAAATAAGCAATAAACCGACGAGAAGACAACTCTACCTTACCGACCAACATTTAAGTATCGATCTCACCAACGCAATGCAAGAACGGGGGAACACCGATGTCAACGATCGTCAACAGAGATCGCTATCGTACAACACGTTAGTCGTTTTATAGGCAATGTAGCACGTTAATCGCGATAACGAATGACGTGCCTACCACGATACAGTCGGCTCTGTTTCGTCAACTATCACTACTATTACTCTACCTGGTATGTTTTCGTAAACACGCATCGCAATTATATCAGATTATCGAATTTTGATAACGAGCTCGATAACGAGATTTGATGACAATTTCCGGACCGTTTTAATTACTTACATTTTAATTATTCCGCGTTATCGCTGGAACACCTGCGACCTCATCGCATTTGGCCGGGTGCTCGCTTGATGCTTCCATCGCATCGGTTAGTCTCGCTCCGAAGATTGTACATCGCCCAATGGAAAATTTTAATAAATCCATGTTATCGTCTGAGACGACTGAACAAAGCCGTTAGGCTTGTTTGAATATCAATTATATCAGAGAAACGAAATTAATTCATGCCGCTGTCGAGATTATTACAGTTCTTAGAGATTAACGATTCTACAGATCATCGATAGCGCCCCGACTTTTTGTCCGTTGTTTTATCCGAGCGTTTCTATATTATCAAGCTCTATCGATTAATAATAATTTGTTGAAATTTGATTCGCAAACGCAAGAACAAGAGTTGTTTCTGTGCAATTAGCAATTGGTTTCGTAATATGGTCCAATAAAAATTTAATCGACTAAATGCTTCTGAATTATGAGTTAATTAACAAACTTGTCAAATATTAATTTTCTCGATGAAATCAACGATTTTTTAATTCCTTCTGCAAATATAATCTTGAAGCGATTTAACCTCGAATTTTCTACATCTACGTATCTTTAGACGAGAATATTTATTCGCTTGAAAACTTCGAGGTACATAATTGTAAACAACGATCCATTATTCCACTACCTTTTTCTTTGTTTACTCGTGATCGAGTGACTCGATATCGAAGCAAGACAATCGAGATAGATCTCGCGTAGCGAAGCGGTCAAACGTGTTCGAAATTTTTGTGTCTCGTAACCACGATAAGCTTATCGCGGCAGACACTTCGTCGGTCGTGAAAGATAGAAAAGAGACGCGGACCGAAGGATATCGTTCCATTTTTTCAATCTTTATAAACAGATTTGCTCGTAAAATAATAATAAAAAAAAAAAATAATGTAGATTGTATTAAAAAGTGGAATGTCATCGTCGTATCATCTCAACAGAAATATCGTGATATCATTTATACAAAGAGAACGAGGAATCTTTCTCTTTAAATATGAAAACTGAAACTTAAATATATAAATTTAATACTATTAACAAAATTTTACAAGTTACCAGATAGGTAACCAGATTGATTATGATATTATAAATCTTGCAATTCAATTCACTCAAATTTTATAAAATTGTAGAGTCTCTAAGTAGAACAAAAAAAAAAAGATAAATAACGAAAAAATATTAAACAAATCTTTCAAATTTCCTCTCGTAATCGCAATGTTAAAAAAGAACGATGTAAAATAAGCAAAAAAAAGGATTGCAAATGAAACGTTAAATCAACGTAACGTTGGTGCTTGATGGGTTAAAGGTCATCACTTGGATAACCGGAATTCCATCAGAAACAAAAACAATCCGAACAATTTCCCTAGAGAGAATCAATCGACCCGTCCAATAAGCCCTACACTGGCCTGCATACGTAGAAAAATCCCACGTACTCCATCGAATTCGCGCTAGAACCATAGAAGTCGATCGGAATCCAATTGCACCGACCAATCGGAACGCGTTATCGACCGAGTCACGACGAACTCCTATTATACTAACCGGCTTGCGAGAGTATTCACTCGCTACACTCAGTTCCCGTTCTTGTTACTCATCTGTAAATGGATGAATTCTAACCTCGTCCCGTCGTCATGTCAAGACACTACACGTAAGGATTCCAGGGATTAGTAGAAACTCGATTGGACATCTAACACAATTCGTCACGCGGTAGATGAAACAATGTCTACCGATTCTTGACGTACGAGTAACACGCGATCTGCAAGTAGACACGTGGATCACGTGCTCAAAATTTACTAACCAGTGGCGTGTTCGGCTTAGGAACTTCCGAGCGCCAACTTACGCGTCGAGTTTATGCGAATGAACCCCTGAATCCAGACCAAGATCATGAATTGCAAATTGCCTGTGAGCTATCTAAACGTCCTGCGTTAAACACCAAAACAATGTAATTCTATCTCCTTGCAGTGTAGAATAATTTCAATTTGATATCCATCGTTTGTTTTTCTGTCTTTCAAGTTAACTTTATCATCCGTATTAAAGTACTATCGATTACGGATTAATTACGACTTGCAAAATAAAACAACGGAATTCTGATATTTTAAGGGCATCGTTAGAATAATATTAAAACACGAAAGCACGCGAGTCAGTGCGTTTCTTCATTCCTCGTATATTCCTCAAACTTAAGAAATTTTCTAACGAATAGAAAAATAATTTTCAACCGAAAATGACTGAAACAACGCAGCACGATTGATATCGTTTCGAAGCAAATATTCGCGAAAATCGTCGGGATCAATACAAACATAATATATATATCGGAGGTGGTCCCGCGAGCGAGGCCAGACATTAGTGAATTACAGTCGAGCACGTTATTGACTAGGATCAATAAGAACGAGGTCGCGAGAGTGAGAATAATTCGTAATCACTCGAGGGTAATAGATCAGAGCTGATAATGGTATTGTCGCTCTGAGAGAGTTCACCAGGCTCTGAGCACCGACCGAGCCACTCGACGCTGCGTGAATGGAGAAAGGTGAACTCGTGTTCGTCAAGGGCAGCCTTGCAAACAGCTGATTCCGTCTCGACGCGATGACAAATCAATGGAACGTGGACCAGATGTTCGCGGAGAGTGACTCTGCGCTCGGATCCTCCCCCGAACGCATAATATTGTGATATTGTTGTCACAGTAAGAATGACACGCGACTTCGAGGACAACCACGACGAACCCACAGAGACAATCACGACTTGTCGCCGAGATGCGCTACTGGCTACATTCTCGCTACGTGTCGAGTCTATTTTCTGCTAACTGTTTAAAATCTTTTAACGACACGTGCTCAACATCTGGGTGCATAAACGCGATCGTGGTAACTTTCTTAAAATAGAGACGATTCTTTAATATCGTGGAGGCTTATTTGGTGTAGAATTCATTTATAGGTTTGGAATAATATTGATACGATGGTTATATCTAAAATGATGGTAGTGTTTAAAATAATCGTGCTGGATGATTAATGATTTGGCATCTAAAATCATTGGTTTTTAGTATTTGGATTATTGTTGGAGATATTAAATTGCAATTAATCATAAAGTATCGATGATATAGATTGGTTAGTACTTCTTACAGCCGCTGCTAGAGGGCCGCGAGTACTTGTCATTAGCACGTTTCTTTTACATTTAAAGATTCTAAACTTATTGTAGGATATATTGGAAATCCAAGTACTAAAAACTCGACTAAATGAATCTGCTTCTCCTATCCGTCTTTGTAAATGATTCACATTTAAAGTTTCTTACTTTGCGAAGTATACGAATAGCATCTACAGTAGCAATCGGAGTATTACCTTTTTTTAAAGTTACACCACCAGCCGGATGACCTGAAAATGAAACAATAAACCAAACTGCGGCATTTCAACACAAAATTATAATCTAATCATATAATGCTATACAACTATATTGTGATCTCGTATGTACAACAAAGACGTGCTCCGCTAATTTCAAATCAATAAAAATTTATGTTGAGGGAGCGTGCCCGTTATTATAGATCGTGTCTTGGAAATTAGCGCTAAGACGTAGATCGGGGAGGAAACCCTCGCGGATTTATCGATTGCCCTCGAAATACACAGGGGAATCGCTCTACTCGAAAAAGAAGAAAAGGGCGCTACACAAAATTCTCCGATATCATTCATGGACGTGTGTTCTGCTTTACTAACCGAGAACTACAGTTATCGCGAAGGTGGGGGCGCCACTTAACGCAGGAAAGTGGCGCCGCTATCGGACGCCAGTCATTTAATCAAGCATCAGTGTAGGAGCAAAATGGCGTCACTAGAAAAGCAATCAACCGCTCCTTCTTAGGCATGATTTACCTTTCTCTGCAAATGACTAATACAAGACGCTCAAAGCCATTCGGCGAACGGAAACCTTGACCAATCTTTCGATCGATCATCGAAAAACGTTTTATAGGTTAAGTATATATAAAGCACGATACAGAACACAGTTTTTAGACTACAAATTTAGAATTTTGAATTGTTAAGTGCACCGGTTTTCCAGTGATAGTTCGCTCAACTTTAGCTCTTGACGAGTTACATTCAAGGTCGGCAATTGCTGTCGGAAATAGAAGACCAAGTAAACGTAACAATAGTTTCCGAGCGGCCGCCCCGAATAACTTCCGTTACTTCGTTAAATCGAAGTCTGCGGCCTGTCGAGAGCGTCGTATACACCAGACGGGTGTGCTACGAGTTTCTGGAAATTGATCACAGAAATTTAATGGCAGCTATTTAAAGCTTAATACGATTGAGATCGAGAAGCACGATTTCTCTAATCCTCCATTTCGATCTCGTATTGAATTCCGGTGACCTTGCACGACCTTAAAGGGCATAGTCTACTCTTCGAACAATCAGGCTAGCTACATATATTTTTTAAAGTACTTGCGTCACGAAACTTCCCTTTTCCATTCGTGTTCTAAAAATCTCTCCTTCTTTCAATTGTCGAAGTCGTTCAAATGTTTCTCCCTTTCCTTTCCTTCTAACAAACATTGTCATCAAATTTTCCCAAAGGTTGACAAAATAATCATTTTGAAGAAAAAAGGTTGTTTTGTGTACATTTTTAACAATTAAAGATAAAAATAACGTAGGCACCATTTTTTTTATGGATAACCCTAGGAATTGATCTCATAGATTCTTTTCACTTGGAAGTTTTTAAAACATACACATATATCTACGATAGACGATTCATTTCGAATCCACAGATAGATTCGTCAACAAGAATAGCAAAGATTAACCGGCGAACTCGAGGCTCAGATCTAGGAATATTTAATTATCACGAGATCTACAGAAAGGAATCGATGATTTAAAGGAGCTTGCGAGAAGAGGGATTGATGGAAAGTCCTCTGGTGGCGAGCACGGGAGCTGCTGCCACACCCAATTTGCTCCACATCTAGAAGACGCGTATAGTACTTCCTGTTTCGAGTCTTGGTGACCCCTATCCTCACTTGCGCATAACAATCCCACTTTAGTTACGATATACACATGTCATAAACACATCCTACCAGCCTCTCTGTTCCCCGTATCGAACCCTATTAACCGCCAACATTTACACAGTAATTACACGATTCGTGTTACCACCACATCCCATGCACCCTGTTAGATCATGCCATAGAACTATATTTACCGATGTCGCTAACGATTACCACCCTTATCGACAAGAAAAAACACAGATATACCTCCCTGCTATTAGAATAATGATCACTTGGACACTCAAAGCACACAAACAGACGTCCACGTGCGCGCGTGCGCATATTTTTGCTGAGAAGGCAGATAAACCGGTAAACGGTAGCACCCTACGGTTAATATCGCTAGGCGATACTAACGAAAAGCAAACAGTTCGGTGTGTGTTTGACAAACAACGGATTTTCATTCGAAAACGTGAAAACATCGAATCAACCATCGTTGTGCATTATATATCGTCTCGAATAAAGAAGTCCTGCTTAATGCATCATTTGTATCATTCCCAAACGAAATGCCTCCTTATTTGACTTTCATTAGAATCTATTCGAAGAAAAGCGAAATACTATTTGGAAACTTACAAAACGATTAGTTACTATACGCACAGTGTTAACAGAAAGAGTAAACTTTACGAACCAATATTCAAATATTATTTTTATAATTATCCATTTATAATTCTTAAAATCCTCTTTGAAATCCTACCGGCTTTAGGTTGTGATATACAGGATACGTAAGCAAACAAAGCTATTATATTTAAGAAACTAAGATGCGAATAATATCTCAACTGCCTGATTTAACAGATTAATTATCACATTGAGGGTAACAATCCTTTACAACCGTCTCTTCGTTTCATATGTAAAAATTAAAAATATAGAATAAAAATTCGGCGCTGCCGATAATAATGAGCCGCGGTTGCACAACTTGATAGAATAAATTACCTTAGAAACAAGTAAAATCATTTAGAAATATGAAAGAGCAAAAAACAAGAGACTATCGTACAGATGTGACGATGAGGTGCTCGAATAGAATAGAACGATCCTGAAAAATGATGAAACAGTTGATCCCAGAGTTTAGACGATTGAATGAGCATCCAGTTCCGCTTCTACACTCTTTGTCCCAGCTAATTCGCGTGATCGATCCGAAATAACGCACGGAAACCTTTTTCCCGTCAAAGAATAACCTCACACGTACAACAGCCAGAGAGAGAAGCCTAGTGTCACGCTCACAAACGCGAGCTTCCCTTTACCAGAGCATTCTCATTCTTGGCCAGCCTTTGTAACCCTCTGGCTGTAGCTTCCACTTTGCTGAAACGTCTGTCGGTTTCCGGGGTCGGAGGAGGAGACGCTTTTCACTCGCAACGGGAGTTCCCCGCGACTACGCCCGCATGGAACACTCGGTGGGGTAAAGTGTGTCACGGGGAGAAGAGAAGGAAAAGCGGGAGAGACGAAGAGTCAACGAGCTCGTCTCTCGTCGACTCTCGTAACGCAACCCGCCGAGACTGACCTTGCAGCCGGAAAAACAAGTTGGTTGGCCTGGTACCAGAATTTCGCGTTATTAATAAATCCAAAAATGCGCGGTTGATTTGCGTTCATTATCCTTCGCCGTTGCATTCTCTAATTCTGCGATTGTCTCGACGCGAAGATGAACTGATGAAGTCACGGGGTTGTTTACTTTTCGATCCTGGCAATCTGGTGACTCAGCGATCTTTATCGCTTTTAGGCAAACTTCGCAAACGGAGATGAGACTCAGAGTCCGAGTAAGTGGAAATTTTCCATTCATTTCCATTTTCATTCGGAGATCGAAAGTTTTATTCGGTTTGCGAATCTTTCGTTCCAGATTGGAACATTCTATCAAAGTTCCTAGAACGTAAATCGAGTCTTTGTATCTTACGATTAGTCCAAGTTGTGAAATCATCCTCCGAGGTTTCCAAAATTTCTAAATGCATTTCTAATTTGAATATTTGGAATTCTATCGAAACTTTGAACCTTTGGTTTCCGAAGTAAACATTTTGCTTCAGAAACTTGACGTTCTATCAACTTCCATGCAGCTTTTGGAACTTCTCGATCTGCCGAATCTCTGGGTCTCGGTTGAAGTTTCCTTACTAAATCGCAAAACCTTCGTTTCAAAATCAAAGAGATTTTCTCTTTTATCCTGAAATATACACAACCCCTGATCGTGTCCACCGCTTCCTTGTCCTCGCTTGTCATCGCGCAAATCTATCACGACTCTACTTAGAAGCACTAAAGTACCGTTTGCATCGATCGCAGATCTTTTTTGTCCTATGTCCACGCAACCCTCCAAGCTTTCATCGCGACGCCTTTCTGCGGTTTATCTACAGGTTAATTAGTTTATCGAGAGTGGTCTTGATTATACGTACAAGCTCGTTATATAATGTCGTGGATGGATATGAGTTTCAGTATCACCCATTTGACGTTACGTGGAAGTCGATTTGTTCCGACGAAGAAAGACCTGCAATTGATCAATTATCGCTAGGAAGATCGTTCGTACCGACGTCTGTGCCAGTTGTAATTACAATTGAGTTTGCGTGCAAATGCATCGCGGGGGATTACATGGAAAAGAAACTGGAGTTTCAAGATGAGCAATTTATCTAATTTTTATGTTTAGAAATTTTTATGTTTTTATGATTAGATACAATGGACGCAAGAAGTATTTGCGTACTCCCATGTTTCTCAATCAGAGGTGTTTCAAAATTGAATTCCGTAGTTCGTTTCATCGACATGGAATCGTTGTAACGACGTAAACACACATTTCTAAATTGGTTCACTTACTAAATAAATAAGCAAATATACAATTCTATTTTTGCACGGTTCTCTTTTAAGTGGCTTAGAAGCAGAATCCAATTGTCTTCTTAGACGATATAATTTGATCTAACACGACAAACAACGCCACTTCAAAAATATTTACTTGGATTTAACGCTTCGGTCACGAAGTCTTCTTGTTAGTCTTTTGCTTTAAACGCGCACTCTGATTCTATTTTATGCTTCTTCCTTCAACGGCTCTTTTCTTATCTCGTTTTCTATTTTATGGAAAAAAACGAACGAAATCTACTTCATTTGGGATAAAATGATAAAACGGAGCACTGGGGACTCCCATCATCGCATTAAATTACGTGGAATTCTTCTCAATTTTATCTTCAATACATAGTCAATCTTCCTCTCATTTCGTTTATCAAGTTAAAAGTAACGTCCAAGTAAAGCAGAATCGAAAAAATTGTTGTTACGTCTTTTTCCAAGTTTTGTCGGCATAATATAAATTTCCTACATTTTGCTGGTAGATGATCAACGTCTTTTTATAACCAAAATAGTCTCGTTTATAACCAAATACAGATTTAATTAAATCACATTTGGATTTGGAATACCCACATACCACGTGTAAACAGAATTATATGTAAATTCAATGCAAATATTTTCTGCACCTGCTACGAAATTTTTAAGGAATGTAAAAGTCTCGAAGAATAAGTGATCGAAGTCCTTCCTCTTCTAAATTCCTTCCTAACGTCGAGACCAACCACATATTTTTCCATACTAATCTCACCTACACCTACTATCCCCGCTATTTCCACTTCCCTAAAAAATTCGATTTTTTAAATTTAACAAACCATAAAATCGTCTTTTTCGAAGGAAGAAGAAAAATACCTGTCGTTCGCTTTTGTTCATTCAGGCCGTCGTTCATAAATGAAAAACGAGCATAAAGAAAATATGCATCAAGTCAAGAGCATTCGTCTCCTTAGCACTTAACGAAGTAAAGTGACGACAATTCGCCGCAGTGGATCGCCCCTTTTGGAACAAACGCTCACCCACGCTCTGGCTCAGGGTCAAAACGCGTCGACACGCGAAAACGTGCGAGATATTCGCGAGATCGTTACCGAAACCCCTGCAAGAACACGCCATTTTCTCAATGCAGTAATCGTAAGAAACTCGGAAAATATGCCAAACAGCGGGACGAAGCGATGTTCGCGGTACGTGTAATCGGCTGAACGAATGCTTAATTAATTTATGCAACGTATACACGTGGCACAGATGACAAATGTCGTTTAATGGGGAAAAATTCAATGACGATATTCTCCAGTGACCGGCTTGAAGGTAAGTGATTTATTGATGACGAAGTACGATGCGCATGGATGACTGTGTTTGGAAGAACGAACGCACAGGATGTCTCGTTTTAATATGTTAATGAACGTGATACATTGAAGAGTATGTTGAATCAGAGATACTGGCTATTATAGATATGGGCAATGGAATTTTTGAATAATTATTCCTTCAGGGACGATAGTTGCACTTTGACAGAGGGTGACAGAGGGTGAATTCTAAAGGGTGGAATCGTTTTAATTTTCTACAATCGAAGTGTCGTTTTATTAGAAGACAAAGCGTCATACGCATTCTTATTTGAAATCAAAGTCCAAGAAGTAGCAATTGCTAATAGATTGATTAGCCCCAGCAGTTACGTTGTGTAAAAGCAACAATTTTGTCCGATTACGAGATAGTATTTTTTGAACCTACTGCTTGATCTCAAAGTTCGAAACGATTATCCTTTAGCATAGAAAAAGTAAATTTGAAATGGAATTAACGAATTGTTTAGACTTGCCTATCTTTAATATTTTTAAATATATAACACGACACATGGTAGGTTTATTTTTACTACGATTTCTTTTTCCTTTCTTCGACAAGATAAGATGCTTCTGTTTTTCAAAGGCTGTGGAAAACACGAGTTCCGATAGGCGATAAGTATGATGTACGATACAATGTAACAACCGACGAGAAACTTGCAATTACGCGGTTAATAATGGAACAGGGATCGTTTAATGATTTTTTTTAATCTTAATTTGGTTATTAGAAACCGGCTATAACCGGCTATGCGAGTACTATCATTAGGATTGGTAGCAGGTAATAAAATTTCATGGTAGATTAAGCTCCTTTATACCCGGAGTCGTTTAGCTTTTTTCTACGTGAACGCCTCGAAATCAATATCATCCTGTGCACTATAATTAGTAAATTGAAATATGTTGGTCTTAAACTAAATTTTAACGAGAGCCATGTTACATTAATCAGCCGTTACGCCGATAGCAACATAAATATTAATTTTACACCTAACGTTCGTTGTTCTTGTCTAACGTTAAAAACGAAATGTACTTTTGTCTATCAAACTCTCTCGGCAAAATTTTTATATCTCTATCTTAAAATCGTTTGATCCGACATACTGAAACTGAAACACCGTGTATATAAGATAGGGACGGTTTATGAGCGACATAAAACTTTCAATGCCATTTTATGGGGCCAATAACTATACGAATCACAAAGGTGAACGAACGTGCTGGTACAAAATAATGTACGATAGCTTTGAGAAATCGTGAGTTTGAAGTGAGTGCAGTGAGAGTAAAAGTAACGTGACTGGGCCAAAATTTTTCTCAACGTGAAATTTTAGCATCGAAAGTGGAGGAATTAAATTTTTCCAAATTAAATCCAGATAACGTGCCGAAATCACACTGATTTCTCTGCGATTGAATATTTTGTGTTCGCATTTATTTTAGTCGGCGAATCACTCAGTTTGTCGAGCATTGAGATTAGTTCACTTTGGCTTTCAATGTCTCGAATAACCATAGACACCAATCTACGTAACGATTTGTGACTTTCTTGTATCGAAGGTTTCGATCATCGATCAAGCTTCAGCTGATAATTTCGATAACACGCGAAAACCATCAGAAATATCGTCGAGACAGTTGACGTGGCTAACATAATGACCTATGTAATTCCAATTTTTAGATTCATTTTCTCAGATATTATAAACAGACAAAATCGACAAAATCGAAAACGGTCGAAATACTCAGACAAACCACGGTCGTTGTTAATTTGATGACCAAATTCTCTTCCGCGACGACAATTGAAGGAAACAAACCAACCTTCGTTCTTGAAATATGAATATGATAGAATATATTTTTAACAGAAATAGAACGACACATTAAATAATGGAGTACACGTAAATAAATCAAGAAATTGGTGAATCAACTCATCTTTCCTGATTAAGAGTTTAGGGAAAATAAATTGGAATTTTAACGAATATCACGAATTACCGTAGAATCGTGGATTTAACATGAATTTAGAAGAAGGATCGAGATCTCCGATTTGGATAAAAATCATATTGACAAGATATCGCGACGATTTCTTATAAGCACCCGATAACCTTTGAATTGGCCAAAGCAAGCGATATCTGGGAGCTAAAAGCTGGTAAAAAGAGTAAATTGCGTGGCAAACTTTGTAGAATTCTGATCTCTTGGCAGGCGCCAAGATAAAGAGAACTTGAGTTCTTTGAACGTGTAAATTTCCTCGATTGCGCAGTTTCTGCTTTTTTGGTTTCGTTTTATTTTGGTTTTTCTCTCGGTATTAAATGCAGGAATGAGATATGGCATGGTTAAAAATCACAGCGATATAAGTCGAGAATTTGGATACAATTACGTATTATTCTTTTTTTTTTGTAGTTAAGATTTAGTTTAATATTTCAACGTACAAAGTTTCGCGATATTTTGGATAGAATTAATTTCCACGTTCGCGATCTTCCTGCGTAACCAGTTGGCAGCCATACTCGAAACACGATTTTGGCGATGAGAGCTACAGAAATCCACGTTTGAAACGAGGCGAGTCGCCTCGGACAAATTAGAAAGTCACTTGGTCGAATTTCGTGCGATACTTCCGATCAATATTTTTTCTTTTATCTGTTCGCGTTGAAAACGAACGTAATATCGATGGAACTAAGTCGAATGAGAGGCGATCGTCGTGGTGACCGGCAATTAGCTGGCAATTTAAAAGCTATTACCGCGACTAATTAGTTTTTAATAGCAACGAATTTCACTCGAAACGAAATATTCCACTACTTCTGGTTCTATCCTCTAGCTTTCTATCTGGCGTTAAAGCGAACGGTATTCGGGAAATAAATCAGGCGGATTAAACATCGTAAATCTGTGAAGTTGATATTTGAAGTTGCCCAAGGTCAGAAATGGCAGTTTATTTAAACATCGAAGAATATTGCTCGATTTGTCGAGATGATGAATAACGTATGTATTTTATCGAATAACCGTTTCTTTGTACTTTTTGTTATGTTATCTCAGAAATGATTACACAGAGAGTACTTTTTAGAGGGTGCATTATTAATATTTATCGCGTAAGACTCAGACGCTTTACAATTTATCTCTTATTATCTATTTCTTTCTCCCTTTTTTCTAATCCATAGTATTTTAATCAATGATTATTTAACTGCCATCCCTGTAACTTTGCAAGTTTCATCGTGTAATTTTGCTTCAAGTGGTTCAACGATCGTCAGCATAGGATCGAACACTTGAAAACACCGGGTGATGTAAAACGATCGTATATTTTTGCCTAATATTAGTCTAATATCGAAGTCTAATAATGAGTCATCGTGCCGTATTAATAATATCTATTAAGGCTCACGAATCTTACAAAATAAATATACATATTATAACACATTGTAATATTAATATTCGCGTGTACGGTGTATCAAATCATTATATTCCTCTAATTCTAATTCTAATTCTCGCACAATATTTACGCATTCTTATATCTCCAATATTTCTATATCTTCTGAATCATATACTTAAATATGATGCATCACCGTCCAAAAAGATAAAGTCGCTGTGTATTCCACAGTGCATACGAATCCTCAAGAAACATCAGAATTAATATTTTAATATTTACGCACTTTTTTTTTTTGCTTTTTTTTTGTAGTAAATGAATGATACTTGTTTACCGTAAGATCTATGAACAACGCCCATGTTTCTATGAACTTCATTCGGGGTCAGAAGAAGCTTGAAGAGAAAGAGAGACAGAGAGGATAATCGATACTTGGCTGGTGAACACTGGTACCAGTACTGCCTTCGTTCTGCCTGGCAACCGCGAGATATCGATATTCGTAATTACTTAATCGGCCATCACGCGCGATTATTTATAAATCCGATCGGACGTCGTTATTCTGGTCGAACAACGGGCCGCGAAATTATCGATCAGTTATCGTTCCCCGAACTGACTAATCGTTTCTTAACGAGCTGCACGCAACCATTTTGCCGAAATCAGTCTACGAAACTACCTCTTCATACTTTCTTTCACGTTAGCTATTAAAGTTATAGTCGTTCAATGGTCAGCTAATGGAAGAACAATTACAATTACAATGAATGCACTGAGAATTACAGCGGTGCGAGTCAATTCACTGTCACTTTTTATAAAATAATATAATATTTCTTATAAAATAATGTTTTGTTTCGTCGATAGAACAAATTCGTTATGTATGTTTCGTTAGTATAAAAAATTCATTGTATTCTTTTAGGTCATAAAAACGTATCGTGACGAAGAATTGAGTTATGACCTAATTAATTATGAAATTAAGAGATGACACTGTCAATGCGTGATTAAATCCAAATTCCCCAAATCTAGACTTACACCATTACGATTTTAAACTGTTTTTCTTGTTGATTGTAGAATATTGCTAACGCCGTTTCATAAAATAGCCTGGCTATTAGATACTTTGAGCCGCTTCGGTATCTCCTACCATCGTGAACTATAACTTTGACCAATCGTTCCAACGAGCTAATAATTCCACACTTTTGAAACTACAATTTATCTAATTCTCCATTTTTCTACAGTTTAAAAGCTTCTCGGATAAACTCAGATAAGGACGAGATAAGGAAATTCTCCAAGAAGAATATAAAAAGGTAATTAAATGAAAGAAACACAAGCAGCTTCTCTCTTAATTACGTACTACCAAAGCAGACTGATCAATCAATCAAAAGCTGCGATTATTTGCATTTCTACGTGATGAATCGTTGCTGAGAGACTGGAAAGGAAACGAATCGGAGATGAGACGAACCGCCCAATTGCGAAACTCGCGTGTCGCGAATGGCTTAATATCATTGGGGCATATTGACCCAGATAGCGACACGTGAGCTGGTAACGTGATCAACCTTCTTGCAACGCAAACAGCCGCGAACTTTCAACGTGAACGCGTCTCTCCGCCGCGCCGTCGCCGAAGATAAGCTGGCACACACGCGTTCACAGGGTAGGGACACGATTTTTCGAAACAGAAGGGAAGAAGCGGAACTGGGTCGGTCTATAACGTCGACACGCTTTCGAACCAAGGGGGTGAAAACGTTGCGGATATCCAAGGATTATTTTTCGCAAGGAAAAGCGGCAGCAATTTCTGGGTTTAATGCGGATGCGGTTACGTGCGTTCGTGTAATTACGAAGGGCAGTTACACGAACGCTTTAAATAGAATATTCAATGCGGTTCTTTGATCAATAGAAACAGGGGTTGAGATGTTTTCGTAGAGACACATAAGTTTGAATATTTTTTTTTTTTATTGTATCCCATTTTAATGATCTTTGATATGATAAAAATGGAATTCGCAACGCTATGATGATCGTCAATATATCGGACGTTTTTCAAATCTAAGGTTTAAATATGTTGG